CACTCATCATACATTCACTCATCAGCTGTGTCCCCTATGGAGAGATAGGTGCTGAATCAGCAGTATTACCACAAGCATACATTTACTCATCATACATTCACTCATCAGCTGTGTCCCCTATGGAGAGATAGGAGCTGAATCAGCAGTATTACCACAAGCATACATTCAGTCATCATACATTCACTCATCAGCTGTGTCCCCTATGGAGAGATAGGTGCTGAATCAGCAGTATTACCACAAGCATACATTTACTCATCATACATTCACTCATCAGCTGTGTCCCCTATGGAGAGATAGGTGCTGAATCAGCAGTATTACCACAGGCATAGGGTAGTGGGCACCTAATATGGCCTGGAGTCACCATGGGCTTGACGTGCATGCTTATAGAACTCCTATCGCCATTTCAATAAAATACTTGTCTGTTGTCTTGGTAACTTGAATACGGTGAGATATTATCCCATGTGAGATATGTCATACTCAGAAAATATCCTGAAGCTTCATGTGTTGACCCTTATGTCTCTGCTTGTGACGCTGAAGTCTTGGTCAGTCTCACTGTCACACTGTCTCACAGTCATGTGGTCACACTGTCACGATCAGTTGTCTTCTGTCTTGTGCCGTGCCAGTGATGGAAATTAACTCGAAAAACACAGGCCTTTCGGAATTGTTACTAGTCCTTAAAAATTAAGCAGACTCTTAAATTTAAATCTTTTTTTTCTTTTTCTTTTTTTTCTTTTTTTTAAATATTTTTTATTCAGTTCAGTATATGACATTAGAGTTATACATGGAGTAGCACGTCTTGTAGCATACTTGTTAGGTATAGGTTACCTATACAGCAGACAGCAGGTCAGCAAGTTTAAGTTCGGTACAGGTGTCCATCAAAGTTTACACATGGTGAAAACGGGCAAGTATTTGCCATATTTATTAACTAATCTTTTAACTCAATCTTTTAAGACTTGAAAGATTATGCCAGAATCGAGAGGCGATAATTAACAGCATTTGTTAAAAAAACAGGGCCTATAGCCAAGTAGAAGTATGATTATATTAGCCCGAGGTATTTTCTACTGGCCTCGGGCCTATTGGTGAGCGTTAATTTCCACCCTGTGTACTATTTTGTATTTATGTTGTTGTTTTTTAAAGACAATACCATTTAAACCACACAGTTATAAAGTATATAATTAAATATTGGGATGGTTATAAACAACAATTACCAGTTGGGTCCTTCACTCATCTTGAGTACCAGGGTGGTCGGGTAGCCTAGTGGTTAAAGTGTTCGCTCGTCACGCTGAAGACCCGGGTTCGATTCCCGACATAGGTACAATGTGTGAAGCCCATTTCTGGTGTCCCCTGCTGTGATATTGCTGGAATATTGCTAAAAGCAGCTTAAAACCAAACTCACTCACTCACTCACTCATCTTGAGTACCATGCAGTAGAGTAGAGTTAGTGACCCATCACCTACAGTCTGGGATGAGTTCTCTGTGACAGGGTCACTCACTCACTCACTCACTCACTCACTCATCTTGAGTACCATGCAGTAGAGTAGAGTTACTGACCCATCACCTACAGTCTGGGATGAGTTCTCTGTGACAGGGTCACTCACTCACTCACTCACTCACTCATTCACTCACTCACTCACTCATCTTGAGTACCATGCAGTAGAGTAGAGTTACTGACCCATCACCTACAGTCTGGGATGAGTTCTCTGTGACAGGGTCACTCACTCACTCACTCACTCACTCACTCACTCACTCATCTTGAGTACCATGCAGTAGAGTAGAGTTACTGACCCATCACCTACAGTCTGGGATGAGTTCTCTGTGACAGGGTCACTCACTCACTCACTCACTCACTCACTCACTCACTCACTCACTCACTCACTCACTCACTCACTCACTCACTCACTCACTCACTCACTCATCTTGAGTACCATGCAGTAGAGTAGAGTTACTGACCCATCACCTACAGTCTGGGATGAGTTCTCTGTGACAGGGTCACTCACTCACTCACTCACTCACTCACTCACTCACTCACTCATCTTGAGTACCATGCAGTAGAGTAGAGTTACTGACCCATCACCTACAGTCTGGGATGAGTTCTCTGTGACAGGGTCACTCACTCACTCACTCACTCATCTTGAGTACCATGCAGTAGAGTAGAGTTACTGACCCATCACCTACAGTCTGGGATGAGTTCTCTGTGACAGGGTCACTCACTCACTCACTCACTCACTCACTCACTCACTCACTCATCTTGAGTACCATGCAGTAGAGTAGAGTTACTGACCCATCACCTACAGTCTGGGATGAGTTCTCTGTGACAGGGTCACTCACTCACTCACTCACTCACTCACTCACTCACTCACTCATCTTGAGTACCATGCAGTTGCGTAGAGTTAGTGACCCATCACCTACAGTCTGGGATGAGTTCTCTGTGACAGGGTTGATGGTGTGTCTGTGTACCCTGATGGTGGGGATTTACTGACATCCTTTCAGTCACTGGTTTGTCTGGTCCATTACTCACAGCCTGCCATAGGGATAGAGCTGGAGTAATGCAGTCATCACTCACTCACTCACTCTCATTATCTGCTGAATGAGTTTTGTTTGTTTTGTGTGTTTGTTGTTTAACGCCGCAGTCAGCAATATTCCAGCTATATGACGGTAGTCTGTAAATAATCTTGCCAGGACCAGACATTCCAGTGATTGACATCATGAAAATTGATCCACACGAATGGGATACGATGACATGCATCAACCAAGTCAGCAACCCTGATCACCCGATCCCGTTAGTCGCCTCTTACGACAAGCATAGTCGCCCTTTAAGGCAAGCATGGGTTGCTGAAGACCTATTCTACCCGGGATTCTACGGGATCTTCCCGGATGGCTGAATGAGTAAACACCTCTGCATGGATGTTGACATTAACACTAGGCTGCACAATCACAAGAACTTAGGGCTCTAATTCTCACCAATTCCTCAACAAAACAATTCTGGAAGGTTTTACGATGCACTTAACATATCCCTGAATAGTTGTATGCAATGTTCTCTCGACTTTCTTGAGACGTGATGCACTTGTTGAGGTAGAAATATATTACTTTGGCACATATATAACATGTTTGACTTGATCTTTCATGCAAAGCATTCATGTGAACAAACACTTTGTTCCCATATTTTGTTTTTTATGTTGAATTTTTGTCATGCTTGACTCTGCTGTTTTTAAGTTGCATGCCTGTGCTTGCCCTTATTTGCTTACCCAGCATGCTTTGCCTAATGCTTTCCTCATGCTTCACTCACATTTTACAGGAACTATTTTCTCCGTGACAGGAAACGCTCCCCCCCAGTTACATCGACTTCCAAGTGAATATGCCTGCCCACCTGCCCATATGCCCAGGGCCAAACAGCCAGCTCCTGTTCAGTCACAGTAAGTACAGCAAACCTGAGCCTCTCAACCCCACAGTCACACACCTCCCCCACAGTTACACACCTCCCCAACAGTCACACACCAGCACCACAGTCACACACCTCCCCCACAGTTACACACCTCCCCCACAGTCATACACCTCCCCCACAGTCACACACCTCCCCCACAGTTACACACCTCCCCAACAGTCACACACCTCCACCACAGTCACACACCTCCCCCACAGTTACACACCTCCCCAACAGTCACACACCTCCCCAACAGTCACACACCTCCCCCACAGTCACACACCTCCCCCACAGTTACACACCTCCCCCACAGTCACACACCTCCCCCACAGTCACACACCTCCCCCGTATACCAACGCCTCCACCTCACAGGCCCACACCTCCATCCCACACCTCCATCCCACAGACCCACACCTCCATCCCACACCTCCATCCAACACCTCCATCCCACACCTCCATCCCACAGGTCAACACCTCCATCCCACACCTCCATCCCACAGGTCAACACCTCCATCCCACACCTCCATCCCACAGGTCAACACCTCCATCCCACAAACCCACACCTCCATCCCACAGACCCACACCTCCATCCCACACCTCCATCCCACAGACCTCCACCCCATACACCTCCACCCCACAATGACACACCTTCACCCCACAGGCCCACACCTCCACCCCACTATTACACTCCTTCACCCCACGGACAAACACCTCCACCTTTCACAAGGGGAGGGACTATAGAATCATTGAGGGGGAGAGGGTATATGGAATCATTGACGGGGGGGGGGGGGGGGGGTATATGGAGTCATTAAGGGGTAGGAAATATAGAATCAATGAGGGGGAGGGTATATGGAATCATTGAGGGGAGGGTATATGGAATCATTGAGGGGGGAGGGTTTATCAAGTCATTGATGGGGAGGGAATATCGAGTCATTGAGGGGTAGGGTATATGGAATCATTGATGGGGAGTGTATATCGAGTCATTGAAGGGGAAGGATCCTGTAATCCCCCTGCATTCCAGCTCTTTTACTGATATGGAATGTAGGTTGGGTGATAGTTCAAGATGTACGTGCAAACTTGAAGACATGTGCATAAATATGCATGGTTACGATACAAAAAGATGAGCATACATCTGGCACAAAATAAATACAAAATCAAAAATAATTACATGTGTTTGTTGGGAAAATATGAATGTATGATAGTATTTTGATGTTGTTTCTATGAGTTAATGAGATCGATCTGCCCACTATTCTACACTACTGTGACAGCTGGAACCATCAAGTATGGTTAATTAGTATTGGATGTGTGTGTTGTTTCAGTGGAGATGTGAATGATATTCCCCTGCCCGCTCGGCGCGAGGGACTGCGAGAGAACCAGGACCTAAACAAGGAGAACAATGGAACGATTGTGGGCAGTTTAAATGAGGAGCACGTCACCATACTCGTAGACCGGGGCTACGATCGCCTCAAAGCAGTGGAGGCCTTGAGAGTGTCGCACAACAACCTCAAAATGGCCGAGGACATTCTGGATACGTTTGTTAAAAACAATCGATGAAAAAAAGTAGGGAGTGTGATGATTCTACCAACCACCAGGGGGCACTGTCGCCACGTTTGATACGCCTGGACTGATTGTATTGAGAAGAGACGTGGGCAGAGTGCCATGTGACTTGAGACTGTTCTGCTGTAGACGTGTCGTAATCAAATAATTTATACTCACTCTACAATCAAAGTGAGGCTGCCTCGGTCTGGTCCTACCCCTCGCAGGTTCCTGGGGTCGTGTGGCGGAGAGTCACTTATGCTTTTAGTACGTTAGTATTTATGTCCGTATATCCCATGAGGCTGTGACTCTATTCATTTCAGCCGCACCAAGAGAGGAGACTTTTCTACTTTGTTTCTGTCACTGTAACATTGGGACACGCCCACAAGTTACGTTTTTGTCACTGTAACATTGGGACACACCCACAAGTTCCGTTTTTGTCACTGTAACCTTGGGGCACGCCCACAAGTTACATGTTTCTGTCACTGTAACATTGGGACACGCCCACAAGTTACATGTTTCTGTCACTGTAACATTGGGACACGCCCACAAGTTACATGTTTCTGTCACTGTAACATTGGGACACGCCCACAAGTTACATGTTTTTGTCACTGTAACCTTGGGACAGGCCCACAAGTTACATGTTTCTGTCACTGTAACATTGGGACACGCCCACAAATTGCCTATTTCTGTCGCTGTAATGTTGGGACAAGTATGCCATTCTTCAAGAGCTGGTTTTTCTCTTTGAATTGCATATCCACACGCCAGATGCACCTTTTGATAAACATGCCCTGGCCACTTGTACAAAGCATGTTGTTCGTCAAGCTGACACTCTGTTTACCATTTAGCCTGGTCAACATACTTGTAGGTGGGCATCTAGATAATACCTTTCATGATAGATGTGTTCATGAAGATTTACTAAACTGTTCATGATATTGGTACGAAGATAATCCTGACAATTAACTTGACAGCTGAATATCTTGATTATTCATGAAGAACAGCTTCACAGGTGAATATCTCAGTGTCAATAATGATAAATACGGTAACTATTACTGTAGGCGAACTTCTAGATAATCTTTCATTAAGAATGTGTTCATTATAGCTGGTTATGCCTCTATTAAGAATCTTGCTTTTCCATTGGTTATTCCGTACCACGTGACAAAAAAATACGTTTCAATGTTGACCCCCAAATCACGTGACTGACACTGACCTCAAACATTGACTTATCACATGATCAGTATTGACTTGTCACATGATCAGTATTGACTTGTCACATGATCATATTGACTTGTCACGTGATGAATATTGACTCGTCTGCTAGGAAACAAGATGGCGTCCGGTTCTAACATTTTATGGTTTGTGGGTAAGTTATTGTAATGAAACATAGAAAAGTTTAAGGGTACATGAACTTTAGATTATATTTCGGTTTAACAATACGAATGATCAAGAGAAGTTAATTGTATATTGAAGGTAACATCTCGATACTGATAATGATAGATCTGAGTTGACCTGGGACACGCCCACAAGTTACATGTTTCTGTCACTGTAACATTGGGACACGCCCACAAGTTACATGTTTCTGTCACTGTAACATTGGGACAGGCCCACAAGTTACATGTTTCTGTCACTGTAACATTGGGACACGCCCACAAATTACATGTTTCTGTCACTGTAACATTGGGACACGCCCACAAATTGCCTATTTCTGTTGCTGTAATGTTGGGACAAGTATGCCATTCTTCAAGAGCTGGTTTTTCTCTTTGAATTGCATATCCACAAGCCAGATGCACCTTTTGATAAACATGCCCTGGCCACTTGTACAAAGCATGTTGTTCGTCAAGCTGACACTCTGTTTACCATTTAGCCTGGTCAACATACTTGTAGGTGGGCATCTAGATAATACCTTTCATGATAGATGTGTTCATGAAGATTTACTAAACTGTTCATGATATTGGTACGAAGATAATCCTGACAATTAACTTGACAGCTGAATATCTTGATTATTCATGAAGAACAGCTGCACAGGTGAATATCTCAGTGTCAATAATGATAAATACGGTAACTATTACTGTAGGCGAACTTCTAGATAATCTTTCATTAAGAATGTGTTCATTATAGCTGGTTATGCCTCTATTAAGAATCTTGCTATTCCATTGGTTATTCCGTACCACGTGACAAAAAAATACGTTTCAATGTTGACCCCCAAATCACGTGACTGACACTGACCTCAAACATTGACTTGTCACATGATCAGTATTGACTTGTCACATGATCAGTATTGACTTGTCACGTGATGAATATTGACTCGTCTGCTAGGAAGCAAGATGGCGTCCGGTTCTAACATTTTATGGTTCGTGGGTAAATTATTGTAATGAAACAGAAAAGTTTAAGGGTACATGAACTTTAGATTATATTTCGGTTTAACAATACGAATGATCAAGAGTAGTTAATTGTATATTGAAGGTAACATCTCGATACTGATAATGATAGATCTGAGTTGACCTGTGACTTCCGTCACTTGGACACACCCAGAAACCTTTGGTCGAGGGTTTAAATCTTTGTTCACTCCGATTATGTTTCTAGGTTCGTCAGCTCATGGGTTTCACCAGAGTGCTAAACGTCTGAGACCTGGCTAACTTCCTGGCTTTGCCCCCACGTCAAGTTGACACATGGAGTATAACTGAAATTCTCTTCAAAGCAATGTTGGGGGCACGGGTGGCCCAGTCGTCTAAGGCGCCGCGATTCGCTGTGCAGAGTTGCGTCCCTTGGGCAGGCCAGAAACCTATGACTGTGGGTTCGAATCCCGGTTCGCCCCGATTATGTTTCTAGGTTTGTCAGCACCATACCCGTGCTCGTTGGTTTCACCGAAGTGGTAAACGTCTGAGACCTGCATCACTTCGGGCTTTCCTCCCACATTAAGCTGACTCACTCACATTCAAAGCAATGTTAAAGCCAACTGACTCCAAGTCGTCTCAAAAAGGCCGTAGTGTTCTCACCAAGTTAGCTTTATTGTGGTCATCTCATACTGGGATTTAGCAGGCACAACAAATTTCCTGGCATCTATTGCGTACAATGGGACATACGTGTTATAGGATAATCCTATGTTACGAGGTAATGTAAATCTTGAAGTTAACGCGAGCATGAATTAAATGATAAAATGCGAGTGGTCTTTGTTCGCATTAATGAAACTTCGTATTTATGTCTCCAAAATGACTATCAACAATATGACTTCGGATAGCGCACACTTTGGATAGCGGAAATACCAACCTGAATATATACACAAACATGGTTTATTGAGCAGCAGTTGTAACAAGTACATAACAATGTCATTTAAAGAATAGGAATTACACAAAGGGCATCCGGTGAGTTATCACTGCTGGGGTCAAGAGTTCTACCCACTCGTGTCAAACTAGGCATCATTGACCACTGTTTGATTGGATTAGGGTAAGGATTCCTATCATTCCACTGGGGATGGGGTGGGGGGAGTCGCATTGATTTTGAGTCGCATTTTTTGGCTAGGGGTCAGCAGTCGTATTAATTTGGAGACACTTTAATTTCCAGATTTACAGTATATTGTTTGTGGTGTTCATCACTGAAAATGAAATTCGGCATTGATTCTGGGTGGGTGTGTCTTTATTCTTCCAAATACCTGCAAATAGTGCGTGAATTTGTATGCATATTTATGACATGTTTATTATTGTTTTTTTTTGTAAAATTTCTCTTACGACTACCCTCCTGATTTCTGATTTCTGTAAATCTCTGTGAGACCATTTGATCTAGTACATACCTTCTGATAGAATAGACAAGATGGGTGATCAGTTGACAAACGCTGATAGGGGCACCTTGACCGTACATCCCCACTGCGTCTATGCTATGCTAGAATATACAGATTCCTGCAGGATATGAGTATCAATTGAGATAACGCTGATAGGGGCACCTTGACCGTACATCCCCACAGCGTCTATGCTCATTGCTGTGCTAGAATATACAGATTCCTACAAGATGGGAGTATCAATTGAGATAATGCTAATAGGGGCACCTTGACGGTACATCCCCACCGCGTCTATGCTGTGCTGGAATATACAGATTCCTGCAGGATGGGTGTATCAATTGAGATAAAGCTGATAGGGGCACCTTGACCGTACATCCCCACAGCGTCTATGCTATGCTGGAATGTACAGATTCCTGCAGGATATGAGTATCAATTGAGATAACGCTGATAGGGGCACCTTGACGGTACATCCCCACCGCGTCTATGCTGTGCTGGAATATACAGATTCCTGCAGGATATGAGTATCAATTGAGATAACGCTGATAGGGGCACCTTGACCGTACATCCCCACTGCGTCTATGCTATGCTAGAATATACAGATTCCTGCAGGATATGAGTATCAATTGAGATAATGCTGATAGGGGCACCTTGACGGTACATCCCCACCGCGTCTATGCTGTGCTGGAATATACAGATTCCTGCAGGATGGGTGTATCAATTGAGATAAAGCTGATAGGGGCACCTTGACCGTACATCCCCACAGCGTCTATGCTATGCTGGAATGTACAGATTCCTGCAGGATATGAGTATCAATTGAGATAACGCTGATAGGGGCACCTTGACGGTACATCCCCACCGCGTCTATGCTGTGCTGGAATATACAGATTCCTGCAGGATATGAGTATCAATTGAGATAACGCTGATAGGGGCACCTTGACCGTACATCCCCACAGCGTCTATGCTGTGCTAGAATATACAGATTCCTGCAGGATGGGTGTACCAATTGAGTAATGCTGCTCAACATTTGCTAAGGACCACACCATTGACTGAAGATGAATGTTGTTCAAATGTTGAGTCGTATATTATTGCATTCAAAATAGGAGCATCTTTAACTTGATAAGTCTCCTGTAAGAGTCGGGGGCACAGATGGCCCAGTTGTCTTAGGTGCCGCGATTTGCTGTGCAGTGTATGATTGTGGGTTCGAATCCCGGTTCACCCTGATTATGTTTCTAGGTTTAGTGAGCACCATACCCGGGCTCGTGGGTTTCACCAAAGTGGTAAACATCTGAGACCTGCATCACTTCGGGCTTTCCTCCCACTTTAAGCTGACAAGAAGTAATATAATTGGAATACTGTTAAAAGCTGAGTTATGCCATACTCACTCACTCACTCACACAGCCTAGGCACTAGAAGGTTGCAAACACGGTTTGTCTCAACTTGGACTGGCCGTTCTGTTGAAAAAAACATGCAAACGGCGTAGTCCTGTTGTGGCTGAGTTCTTTTGGAATGTCAGAGTTCTTCTGTTGTGATTAATAAGGTGTGTTGACCAGAATAGGTAGGATAATGTACACAGCTGTCTAGAGCTGCAATTTCACACAGGAATTATTTGTATTTTGCATTTGTTAATTGACACTTATTAACTACTGGGTCATGCGCTATAAGATGATACGAGTGCTGCGACTATCGTAAGTCGACGATAGAATTTCAACAGTGGAAGGAGGCCCTGAATTCTGTGTTGCGGAAGGAAACTAGCTTTGGGATCAAGACTGACGTTCCAGATGACATAAATATTGTCAGATAAGGTTTTTATTTGCTGTTGTTCACCTTTGAAAAATGACAAATTCCTACCATTCGACTGGACATTTTGTTCTTAAACTGAACTATGAGATGTCCTCAGTCTCTGTTACAAGCAGCAACACAGGTTCAAGGTTATCTTAACGAGGTAGGTAATCAGTACAAGGCCCTCATTTGCAAACTTAAAAACTTTGCATGAAACTATATTTTCCTTGGAATATACTATATATTACATGTGTATATTAATGGGAAATACTAAACATCTAAGTGTGAAATAAGTAGTTGAGTCTATCATTATAGGCCAATGCGATATCTTCTTCCTTGTACATGTTAACCAAAGTATTATTTGCACTCACATCGGCAGTGTCCTCCACACTCTACAGGCCCTGGTTTAAGGGCCAGGGGTGGCCCTGGTTTGAGGGCCAGGGGTGGCCCAGGTTTAAGGGCCAAGGGCAGCCCTGGTTTGAGGGCCAAGGGTGGCCCTGGTTTGAGGGCCAGGGGTGGCCCTGGTTTGAGGGCAAGGGGCAGCCCTGGTTTAAGGGCCAGGGGTGGTCCTGGTTTGAGGGCCAAGGGTGGCCCTGGTTTGAGGGGCAAGGGTAGCCCAGTCACCTAAGGTGCTGCAGTGTGCTGCAATTCCTCCCTCAGGCATGCCGTGAA